AGAGAGAAGGCCCAGAGATGAGGTTAATAGTTTGTTCAAACTATGGACAACATATTTCAAAGGCCTGTTGGTTTCGTATACCGCTTAAGGCTGTAATTATTAACTTTTAATTAACACCTAATGCTTCTTGGAGAGCCTGTATCTACAAATGCTTTTTGATCTGGACTTTGAAGCACAACGCACTAATAGCAAGTTCCTTAACTTTCTGTGGTGAAAACACTCTATCATCAAGACGAGGTTTTGGCGACTCAAACGTAGACTGCAAGCAGTCTCTCCTTCTCTTCAGATTTTTCGTGTCTCGCACGTTTCGCTCGACGGAATAATAAAAAATTGAGACTGCGCATGCTTGAAGTCTAATTCAAACTTGGTGGCCATGCATGTAAGATGTTCGGCTTGTGTTCAGCTCATGTGAATTACGGCATCTGAATAAATTTAGTCGGCTTAGACTATTGTGGATCAGCCTAAATTTAAATTCGATTCGGGCCTAAATCACAGTCGTCTAATTCAATCTTGGGGGATTTTATTTAGTGAGTAAAAGCATGTAGATGTTCGGCTCGTGTTCGGCTCATGTGAATTACGGCACCTCAATCAATTTAGCAGGTTTAGACTATTGTGGATCAGCATAAATTTGAATTCGATTCGGGCCTAAATCACAATCAGCTACGAAAATCACTGTTAGCCCAAGCTTAAATTACACTGTAAAATGAAAAGAGCCAATTTGGCCCCAAAAATGGGGCCAAAACGGGTGAGTCCAGAAGGGTACTGTTTTGGGGGCCGATTCAGCCCCATTGAGATGGGGCTCTTTTGGTACCAAAATTTGGGGCTAAACGGAGCCTTGCATCGGGGCCAAATTAGACCATGTAAAAGGTCAATATGAAAAACTATAAGGCCACTTTAATTTGGATTTGCCATTAGCCAAAACAGCCCATCGGTATTGTTGCGTAACATTGGAAATAAAATGAGGATTTGTATAGGGGAAAAAACGACGTTTCTCGAACCAACGAAAATGTGAAAGGATTTCAATAAAACGGTTTACCTTACTCGAAATGTGTGTTGCTTTTTTTGGTGTAGTTCACGGGCCGATTCTTTTAATCGAGTCCTTTTTCAACCATTTTATGGGCTTTACTGTAGAGAGAAAATTGGTCGCACTCAAACCTATAAAATGGCCGTAAATCAGGCAGCTCGCGTACACTACACAGGAAGGAAGCCAAAAATGTTTTATATAAGGTAAGCCGTTTTTGTTGTAATCCTTTCTCATTCGACTCGTAGGGTTTCAGAAAAATACGCAAAAACATTTCGAGCTTAGGTTACCTGTGCGTCGATCTGTCCGCTAAGATCAGTTTCGTGACAACACATTGACCGTTGTTGAAAAGCTTTCACGATCCTAGAAGAGTGGTCTAACTCTTTACTTGCTTTTATCTGCAGCTGTGACTGAGCTGAAGAAACGCCATGTTTTTCTGGTGGTTTTTCACTCTCGTTTCACCGTATCTTGCACAAGGCTATCAAGGTAATGTTACTTCAATTAAAGCTTTAAATAAATATTAAAGAAAGAGATATTTCAAAATGGTCTTACAAGCCCTAACACCCCCGGCCTGAATCTATCACTCGGGCAAAAATTTGCCTTTTCTTCTGTCAGTACGATAACCAACAGCTATTGATTATGAGGTTGGTAATATGTGAAGAATTATGCAGATTAATATTGAGCCGGATGCTATTTCGGTTTCGCCTGGATAACAGCCTGCCTAGATCACACGCAGCCCAGACGTAGTGTGTGTCAACAACATGAACAGAATTGGATCGCATGGTAGACTGAAACGTTATCAAAGAATTAAGATTTAGATTTAGACAAAGAGTAGACAAATTCTACTAAAGAGGAATTTAATAATATTTCAACGATAAATATATCTTTTAATTACCATTATCTCTTTGTATATTGACTAGTCCTGGTTTATTTGGCCCTGAAAATTTCTCTGTTTCTTATCGAATCCGACGCTCTCACGAGCCGCCAGATTAAAAAACCCCATTAGCGAACTCAAATAGCCTAGAAGTCACACTATAACAAAACAAAGGTAACTACTATGCAATATCTGAAGTCAATAGTCCCCACGAGTGCAAAACTGGACAAAATGCCACTTAAACCGGCCAGGAGCTGGAAGGAGAGTGTAAAATTAAGTGTGCAGTGTAAGGGTCCACAATAGGGGTTCTCAAATCCCGCTTTCCCGCAGTTTTTTCTTCTCAATCCCGCCATCCCGCCCTATTTTATGCCCGAATCCCGATCCCGTCCCATTTTTCACGAGATTTTTTGCTTAATTATTGAAATAGACGTTATATAAGACTTAACCTCTAACAATTGTCAGTTTTGATGGTCATTTTTTCGTCCGCGCATCGGTACATGTTTACTTTGATATTTTTAAAAGTCCCGTATTTTTGAAGTTAGGTAGATTGATTCAACTGCTTTGCTGCTAGTTCCCGGCGATGAAGCCAATTCTGTCAATTGTTTACGTAGAGTGTAGGACATTGAAAATGTATATAAACACACTGGTTGAAAAGACTGAGAAAATGGTCTTTTTTATGAAAACATAAGCCTGCTATTGAATCAAATAGCACCACCAAATGCGGGCACCCTTCAAGCAGGAAGTTTGCTTCTCCTTCCAAAGTGGCAATAATCAACTTTCGCAAGCTAGCGAGACCATAACAACCCCATTTACACGCGCTAAAAATTCGGCACGGCAAGCCAAATTTTTGGCACCGCGCCTCGTTTACCCGTGCCGAGACTATCTCCGGGAGGTAGTCTCGGCACCCCTAAAATTTCGAGCACTGGTGCCACATTGCATGTGGGACCGATAGGTTTACAGGTCGAAAATTGGGAGTGCTGTGCCTTAAAATCGTCAGCACGGTGCCAAAAATTTAGCCTGTGCCAGGCTCTCAGATAGTATAGTGGGGACGTATTAAACGAACAAAGCGAAAATAAGACGCGCGCGACTTGGGAAAGGGGACGGTGGTGGCGGCGGGAAAAATGGGAGAGAGAACCTGTTAGCATTTTTTTAATGACCCTCTTCCACCCATTTTTGTCACCTCTGGATCTGGCTGTCAAAACTGTTAACACTTCAGTTAGATACAATCATTCTCAAGTTTCTCGCGCGAGCATTTCGCGCGACGTGCGAAACATTCTCCTTGTGCGAATGTGTGGAAATCCATGTCTTCGAATTCGTCAACGGCGTCTGCGAATCTCGCGCTCGATCGTTCAAAGTGCTGCAGGTTTTGTACAAAAAACCTTACTTGTATCGGAACAAAAGTTCCTCGAATTTCTTTGTACAACGTGGTCAAAAACAAGGCGTTATTGGCGTTTACAGGCACTAAGAGTTTAGTGTTAGCTGACGTCGTTGAATCTCTAGGTCATAAGACGCGCGCGACTTGGGAAAGGGGGCGGTGGGGGCGGGAAAAGTGTGTTTTTCTCATTTCTTTTTACTGAACGACTTTTCACCACTATCTCGGAGCCTGGAGCAGGCTACAAAAATTTGGCGTGCCGTGCCGAATTTTTTTTAGCGCGCGTAAATAGGGTTTTGGTCGCCGACCGTAGCGCGGGGCACAAAGTCCATTGATATTCCAGGATATAATAGATCTAATACAGGGGTAATGAGGTCGTTGAAAACAATTAATAATAAATAGCAGTTGGACTGTGAGCAGTCTCCTATTTTTCTTTGCAAATTTACTGCACGAGAAACCCAAGCACGCGAGCCTCGATAAACGTCACTCTGGTCCTAATCCCTTATTGTAACATAACGTCGTGGTTTGCAATCGCGCTGGCTGAGAGGACTGCAAGCAGTCTAGATAGCAGTAAACTCAGGTCGACTCACTTGACTGTTTCTTTTAAGACTTTCAAGGTCTTCACTTGTCTTGAAACAGGAGCTCTAAAATTTTTCTTCCCGAAGAAATGCATTCCCACTGGCGCCTCAGTTTTTCGTAATACAGAGCCACACAATTTATGAAGTCTACCACATCGTCGTCATTGTGCACTTCCATCAGTTCTGGTGTGGCCATACCGTGGTCAGACTTACTTAACAAACGCGCAGTCCAAAGGATCGTCCAAGTCCGACAGGTCCGTCCAGGCAAAAGCAGAAAAGGTCAAATCCGTCCACAAAACAGGAATCAGTGCAGATCAATGCACGTGACTTGTAACCTCAGTGATTTGATTCCTCTTTCCGAGTGACAAAAAAGACGAAAATAGTAAAACCGGAAAAGACGAACAATATACCAAAGTGATAATGGGCAAAATTTGACAGGCTTCACTTCCTTGACACTCATAGCTTGACTACAAAGGCGGTATACACACTAAAGATCCATTTTTTTCAGTCAACGCTAATACATTTTTAGTCAAGACAAAACTAAATTCCCGCATCTCGCTATTTTTCCCTTACGATTCCCGCATCCCATCCCCATAAAAATAGGAAATCCCGTTCCCGCTGGTTATTAAAATTCCCGCATCCCGCTCCTGTTTTCAGCTCGCATCCTGAGTATCACCGCGAAAAATAGCCAAATCCCGCATCCCGCCAAACCTATTGTGGACCCTTCCAGTGTATATGGTCGAAAGTCCATGTAGTTAAATTTCTTAGGTTCCGTTTTAGTGAGAAATTGGGCTATTTCGTCTTCCTGTAGCTTTTAAACCCCTATTTTCGTTTTCACTGGCTAGGCTGCTGTACTCTAAAGCTGTGTACAACGGAGAAGCGGAGAAAATTAAGAAGGTGAAATCTTTAGTTAATGAAATCGGGTCCGAGTAGATGTTTGTGTCCGATTGAAAACAATCGGACCCGATTACCCAAAAACCGGTAAACATCCGAATGATAACACGGGTATTGAATAATCACCTCCGATGCCTGAAGCGTCTATGGGTGGCTTTATTTGAGTAGATCATCGTCGGTTACATTTTTAACTTCTTACCGATTCTTCTAATGGATAATTTAATTCATGTGGGCAACACCTAAAATGCCAGTGTGGGAGAGATGATACATGCTTTTTCTCTTTTAGTTGACAGCTCTGCTTGCGACAATTCTCCATTGGATATATCACTCGTAATCGACAGGACCCAAAGCGTAGGTGCCAAAAACTATGATAGGATGTTGGACGCTGTTAAAAACCTCATTTCTCAGTTTAAAGTGGGTGAAGACCAAACCCACTTCTCAGTAATTACGTACGCTGGTGATCCAGAACTTCGCGTGAAACTGAGTGATAAAAAATATCACAGCAATGAGGAGCTGGAGAAGCTTTTTGAATACATGAAGGAAAATGATAAGTTAGGAAGACCCACGAGGACTGATAAAGCACTAACGATGGTTGCCGAAAAAGTCTTTGTTTCAGAGAATGGTGATCGACCAAATTCACCCAATGTCATGATCATTTTTACCGACGGGAACACTAACCCTAAATCAGAGAGTTATGATATTGTTGTGCCGAAACTTGAGGTAAGCAGTTTATTGTTCTTAACATGTTTATCGCAACTTTCGATTTATTGCAGTTTATACACTTTTATTAACTATAACGACTAAAAGTGCTCTACTGTCTGCGGTAGCTTCGTGTGGGCATGGCCGAAACGAAAACAACATTTATCAGCTGATTTATGTGAGACACAAATACCTATTATTTTTTAGAAAAAGGGGATCCATCGAATTGCTGTTGGCATTGGAAAAAAGATCGATCAGACAGAGCTTGAAAAAATGGCCGGGAGTAAAGACCGAGTAGTGAATGTAAAGAACTTCGGCAACGATCTGAGAAACAAGTTAGATACTATTATAGAAAGTGTCTGCAGTAAGTTTTCTTTTTTCTCATTGATATAGTTATGCAAAATAGTCTGGAGAAACCTTTCCAGTCGTGTAGTACCAGTTAAAATTCAGGGGCACCCAACGACTTTTTTCTGTAACATAACTGTTCGAAGGAGCAAATAGCGGCCTAAAAATTTTTAAGCTCCAAAAGGCTAAAAATGTTTGTGACTGTTCCATTCGTCTAAGATTTTCGGAGGTTTTCTACTAACTTACTTTCAATTTTCGGAGCTAGTGTTTTTCACATTTTAATACCAAGATAATACGATTAGGTTTTTAAAAAGGTCTCGTGAAAATTTCGGTACAAAGACAAAACCGATCCCCTAGAATCTACTGAAAGTACGGCTACTCAATGCCCTCAAACTTTCGTCCGAACCCATCGGGGCATCTAAAACTTTCAGGACGAGCAAACCTCTCCAAGGCATTTGAACAGATAAATAGCTTTTAGGGCAGCTCCAATTTGCTTCTAAAGCAAAGAGACTCTTATTTGAGACACTCCAGGCGTATTTGGAAACATTCGGTCGTTAGGTTCCCCTGAAAATCTCTCAATTCGTTTTATGATGTGACAGAGTCAAAATTTAATTTACATGTTTTAAATTTGAGCTAAACAACATTTCAATAGCGTAAAGACACATCGGTAGGTAAATGAAAAGAATACTCTATTTGGGAAATCCCGACCCCGGCCTTTCAGGCTGGTTTTTCACTATCAAAAAACATTTAGGTAATGGAAGAACGTTTTTGCATGTTTACCGCTTTCTTATACGATAATTCTTAAAAGAATTATCATAAGTTAAAATGTTAAACATTGTTTCCCTGCTTTTAGGCCAACCCAGGCATAAGCCTCCCCTGCACAAAAATTCCACCGTACGCTTCGTACCAGTAAACAAATAGCGATTAAGACCGGGTTTGCACTGCGAATTCACATTACTTAACAATTAATGAATGAGGCTGAGTATCTTATGAAGAATTATGGAGATCGAGGAGCGTGTTTTATTTTATAAGTACTGAGATTTATCCACACAGATGACAGTGATGAAAAAATCGTTCTGTTTTTAGTCGCAGCCAATCAGCGACGCGAACGATGAAATTTCACTAG